TTGTTAATAATAAATTAATTAAAGCAACAAAACCACCTGAAGAGCCGGTTCGGAGCTGAAAGAGCCAACTCTTTTTAGTGAGTCAAGCCAAAAGAGCCAGTTCTCTAAAAAGAGCCGGAAATCCCATCACTGCTGCTGCTCTGTACAAGCTGCTGGGGGGCTGTTAACGATGGCCAAGCTATCGTTGCCCACATGGACTACAGGGCTCTGGCTAGCTGCAGGATTTTCAAGGGTCTGGAGCTGGGACTCCAACTCAGTGATTCTGGTTTCCAAAGCTACAAACAGGCTGCATTTATTCTAATTATAATTTGCAGGTGATTTAGCAGAAAGTATGCTTGGATAAAGCACACGAGGTTACACTGTGGAAGAAGTTATTCTCTAAAGGTTTCTAAATAAGGGAGCTACACAGATTAGTGTGGAAGAGGAACTCGCACCTGGAGCTGAGCAGCAGCATCTGAAGCTTCAAAGATTCTGCGGGCCAGGCCTTTGTTTTGTTTGCTCATCACATCCAGGAAGGAATAATCCACATCATTTCCAAATCCAAGACAGTACAGAGACATTTTTCCCCCAATAGCTGTACGCATATTCTCCTGGATCTTGCCAGTGTTGCGCTCTCCTAAAAATGCATGCATGCAACACACAATGATAAAAATGCTAAATGCAATGTAATGTTAAATGCTGAACAAACATAATCTAGCCTACGGTATGTTTGCACTCTACATACTTACCCTCATTTGGCATTCCATCAGTCAGTAATATAATCATATCTGCACTTCTATCTGGTAGCCTCTCCATCTGTCTGTCTTTGACCAGCATGTTTACAGCTGTCAACACTGCATCATTAATATTGGTTGCTAAAAGAAAAACACAATTCATGTTTTAAAATGCATAAACTATTAATGTTTTTTGCTGTTAGTTGTTTGGTTTTTTTTGTTTTGTTTACTTGTTTTTTTGTATTTCTTACCTCCTCTGCTATGTATTCTTTTGATGTAATTCATGGCTTCAGTTATGTTTTCCTTTGTTGCTTTGGTAAGTGAATCCTTCCAGGTTTCAATAACAGAATCAAACAGGATGATGGCAAAGTGGTCGTCTTCATGGACTTGTTGAAGAATGGCCAGCATAGCTTCTCTTGTCTACAAAGAGTCAGAG